TGACCAGTCCTCGTGTCATGCCACGTCACCTTCAATGTAAATTCAGTTTTTTCCCAATACACCCATATCAATGATCTCGCGTACATGCCTGCCACAAAAGATGAGCGATTTGGATTTAACCTGTTTGTGGGTAGGTTCTTCAGCGCAAAAAGATGTGATGAGGCAATTCCTCTTGATGCATGGGTTCCAGCCGATGATGTTGTTCCGGTTTGCAAAGCAATACTAGAAGCTTTCAGAGATCTTGGTTTTAGAGGGAACAGACAGAAATGTAGAATGATGTGGTTAATCGATGAGCTGGTGAGTGATACATTGGTGCATTGACAATTTTCATGCTTATTTAGTCTTATGATTTAACAAATAGCCTCAGCTATGTCTCCTCGCTGTCATTGTATAACTATTTTGACTAAATATTAAGGGCCTTATTTTCAGGTAAAATACATTTTCTGATTTGGTAGTCTTTTATAGCAAGTCCTACTTCATGTAATGGTGGAGACTGAAAGATACATTCTCCTCTAGGTAGATATCTGCTATGTGTCTATTAACAACAACAACAACAATAACAACAACAACATACCCAGCATATTCCCATACGTGGGGTCTGGAGAGGGTTATCTTTACGCATTCTTTACCCCTATCTTGTACAGGTAGAGAAAGTTTTAATTAGCTGGTCTAAGTTGTAACGATTTCAACTAATGCAGGGTGTAGAAGGATTCAGGGCAGAGGTCGAGAAGAGAATGCCTCAGCAACAGCTTGAGAGAGCATCTCCAGAAGACTTGGTTCAGAAACAATGGGAAAGAAGAGATTATCTTGGTGTACATCCGCAGAAACAAGAAGGCTACAACTTTATTGGTCTTCACATTCCAGTGGGTCGTGTTCAAGCAGACGATATGGATGAGCTAGCTCATTTAGCTGATGAGTATGGTTTAGGAGAGATCCCGCTTACTGTGGAACAAAACATTATTATTCCCAACATTGAGAACTCAAAAATTGAGGCACTGCTCAAAGAGCCTGTTCTGAGCACATTTTCACCTGATCCACCTATTCTCATGAAAGGTTTAGTGGCTTGTACTGGTAACCAGTTTTGTGGACAAGCGATAATAATCGAGAGTAAAGCTCGTTCCCTGAAAATAACTGAAGAGGTTCAAAGGCAAGTTTCTTTGACATGGCCAGTGAGGATGCACTGGACAGGCTGCCCGAAAACGTGTGCACAAGTTCAAGTTGCAGACATTGGATTCATGGGATGCCTGACTAGAGATAAGAACGGGAAGACTGTGGAAGGCGCCAATGTTTTCTTAGGAGGCAGAATAGGGAGTGATTCACATTTGGGAGAAGTATATAAAAAGGTTGTTCCATGTGATGATTTGGTACCACTTGTTGTGGACTTACTAGTTAACAACTTTGGTGCAGTTCCACGAGAAAGAGAAGAAACAGAAGATTAATAAAATTCAGAATAGTTCGTGATTTTGCTGTGTTCATAACATGTAATGTATGATAAATCAACGAGAATTATTGCATGCTACATATATTCTTTTGAAGAAAATTGCATTCGTACTCCTCGATTATTAGGTCTCACATTGAACTTCGGCTTTAGGCCACGTATGTGTTTGAGCCGCCCCTGATAAATGATGTACATCTTTCAGTTTTCGTCTCAATGTCCAACAATGGTTGTATCCTTATATTAGAGTTTACCGGTCAGTCCATATGACTTCAAGACAGTGGAATTCAATGAATTTTCACAAATATGCATTGTAGCTGACATTATTTCTCAAGTATACTCAGGGGCTGATCTAGTAAGGCCCGAGGGGGTGTTAAGCCACCCGCAAGATTCGTTCAAAACTCTCTCTCTATATATATATATATATATGTGTGTGTGTGTAAGAAATTGTATATATATTTAAAGCGCTATCCACAGTAACAATTTATACAAAGGTGCCAATGACAAAAGGTAGGAGATTCCACCTTGATTGTGAAGGATTGAACCCAACTGGCAACAATTTCTGAACCTTTTGGCTTGCTACATCACGTTAAGCTTTCTATCATTCTATAAAGGGATGTACATGGACCGGGTTGATTCGGTTTTTATTAAAACCAAACCAAACCAACTATATCGGTTTGGATTGGTTCCATTTTGTTGGGTTTTTCGGGTTTTTTGATACATGAATATTATTTCAATCTTACTTTGTTAAATTTTTTATAAGCAAATATATATTTAGTAA